CAGGCTATCTCTACAGTAGATTGCAACTCCGCCCCCTTTGGCAGTTCTATCTAGACGGAAAATGTTGTAGTTGGGAATGGAAATGTCAGAATCTTTGGTGGCCTTCCTAAGCCAGGATTCAGACACTGCTAGAACATCAGGGTTGGCTGAGTGTGCTAACGCAGTTAATAACTCAAACTTAGGGAGGAGGCTTCTGATGTTAACATGCAAGAAACCAAGGCTTTTGCGATTACAGAAGTCAACAAATGATAGCGCCTGGGGAGCAGGAGTGATACTGGGGGATACAGGGCCTGGGTTAACCTCTACATCACCAGAGGAACAGAGGAGGAGTAGAATAAGGATACGGCTAAAGGCTTTAAGAACTGGTCTTCTAGTGCGTTGGGTACAGAGAAGGGGCCGATTTCCGGGCATTGTAGAATAGATTCAGGGCATTATGTACAGACAAGCATATGGAAAGATATGAGTACAGTGGAGGTAAACCTAAGCGTTGGGTAAAGATGAAAGAGATAGCATCACTGGAGGCACCGATTGAGCCGGTCTCCGCGTGTGTGGGGGGTGGGACAAAGGATCTATCTGAGACAGGTTGAGAAGGACTGGGGGCTCTACATTGAAAAAGTACAGTTACAACTAACCGAAACAGCAACAGGCAAGGCAGATTGACATGGGAGATAGGCATAAAGCAGTCACAGGTGTTATTCGAGAGAGCTAAGACAACAGCTGGTAATGGTGACGAAAGTTTGAGCTGAGGCTAAACAGATCAACAGGATGGGGTACCGTATAAAGGAACAGTCCAGCAGGCATCAGCTGTGTAGCTGAGTGATCATAAGGTCCAGTGAACAGCAATAAGTAAATCCGGGAGCAGTTCAGTGGCTGCTACGCCACAGGCACGGCTGTTGATTGCGTGTGCTAGCGGGCCAGGGCTAGCAGATAGATCTTCATGGTCGTCGCAACGGGGAGCCTGTTGAAACCACATCAGACGATTACGTCGGCAGACCAGTCGTGATGGATCGGCGGGGCTCCGTGTCAACACTAGGAGGTCCCGTCCGGTTGACAGAGAGGTAGATAGCCGGGAGATGGGCCTGGCTCGATGCTAGCTCAAGGCTAACTGGGGTTAGCTTCAGGACAGTGGTGGTTAGTGGTGATTAGCCAACAACGACAACAGCCATTCGGTTGCAGCTAGCTAGTTGCGACGATCCGTTGGTGTTAAGGTCCAGTGATTCAGTGATTCCGGCAGAAAATCCGATATGCTCTGGCTCGATAGCGTGATGTGCAGACTGGCCGATAATTGTCCAGGCTAGAGCTGGCTGGTAGGTAGTGCAGGCCACGGCCACGGACAATGGTGAAGACGGCTAACGGTGGCTAATAGCAAGTAGCTAGTTAGCTGGCTAGTTTCAGCCAGAGGTTCTGGATAAAAATGTATGAAGAAATAATAGAATCCGTTCCACATTGGGTGAGGCGGGTTGCAGGAGAGTATATTTAGTTAAAGAATGGAAAGTGAGATTGAGAAATATATACGAAAAAGACAAAACAAACTAAATACAGGCTATTTACATGAGGACACTACAGAAAACACGACCGCACTGCTATGCCATCTTGGATCTCTACACCAGAGCAGAATGTTCAATTCCTTGGTGGCCAAACAAGGAGTTTTTTTTAAGGACAGTCTTAAGGATCTATCTCATTATCCCACTAACAACTGTCCAAGAGTCAGATTAGGCCTGTTTCATCTCATGAAGGGATGCTTTAAAACTGATGCAAGGTGAGCTGATCCAAAATCTGCAGGGAAGAGAGTGACTCAGTAGGCACTATGGTAGTGACCAAGCAGACAGTGAGTAAAGGTGTTGACACATAGACACATTTACTGGCAGCAGTTGGTGGAGAAGAGTCCAGAGGAAGATGTGTGAGAAAAGACTGTGGCTTCTTGAGTAAGCCAGCCAACGCTGCTTCGTCACCTCACGGTAGGTAAAAGGCTCAAAGTATGCGAGCCAGAAAGCGAGAAAACACCACGTCACTCACCGAGGGTAATCCTTAACCTCCTCAAGCATTCAAAGAGAGCTGAAGGACATGATAGTACCAGTTTACAGGCTTTATTACTGTTCACAGGAGGAGGCGAGTTGGAACATTTGATAAACATACAGAAGATAATGACTACTACACCCTTAGAATAAAAAGGTGCTTCCTAGAACCTAAAAGGGTAATTCGGCTGTCCCCATAGGAGAACCCTTTGAATAATAATTTTAGGTTCCAGGTCGAATCCTTTTGGGTTACATGTAGGACCCTTTCCCCAGAGGTTTTTACATGGCACCCAAAAGGCTTCTACGTGGAACCAAAAAGGGTTCACCCTGGAACCAAAACGGGTTATTTTATGGGGACAGCCGAAGAACCCTTTTGGAACCCTTTTTTCTAAGTGTACTGATAATGTTAATAATGTAGGCCTAGATAGATAATGCCTAATAATAATGGTAATAATAACTACACTACTGTTGGAACTACTTCAATATAACAAGTACTATCCGGTATTTCAATTGGAGGGGTGATTGAAACAGATTGTTTCGGAATCCGAAAATGACTATAGTACAATTCCTAGAATGCCCTTGGAATAAGAAGGCAAAACAACTCGCGGTTGCTAAGGCCCTCAGTAAGATTAACAGGAAGTGTAAACACTAACAAATATAATGATGAATATAATGACAAACACTGCTTGTAGATTCCAATCTCCCTGTGCAAAAACAAGTCTTTGTGTTTGTTTGTATACTATTCACACTATGGCCTAAAGCCTAGCCGATTGAGTGAGGTCAGAAGTTTGGCTTTAAAATAGTGTCTCTAAGCATCCACTTCCACTCAGGTTCCCTTTAATCAGTATTCCATATGGTGGAGGCAGAGGAGGGGAGTTAAACAGGACTGCACACAGACTTTAATAATAATATAATAATATGCCATTTAGCAGACGCTTTTATCCAAAGCGACTTACAGTCATGCGTGCATTCATTTTTTTTGTGTACGTGTGGTCCCGGGGATCGAACCCACTACCTTGGCGTTACAAGCGCCGTGCTCTACCAGCTGAGCTACAGAGGACCACAGACTTCACCCCTTGCCGAAGGTCTCAAGTTATTAAGCTATTTCACATACAGCCGCTGCATACCTCAGCGATGTAGTCTGGTCTACATGTGTGAAAGCGACATCCTCCGGGCTAGAGATTGACAGGCTGCACACTTTGACAGCAGCAGCAGTGTCTGGGGAACACCATATCATTAGAAATGATTGGGGGCATGTGGTCCCGGAGGTTGATCTAGTGGTCAACACAGCCGCCTCGAGACTACACGTGCCCCCCAACAACATACTGTCCATTCTTCCACTCATTTCCATGCTGTGTAAATACATGAAATAGAAGTAAATGGTTAGGGGGAAACTCCTAATTCCTACAAACACCAAAGGACAAAAAACAAGTGAGGTGTGATTCAGTCAGTAACACCCCCACAGTTCATATTATCATATTGACCTCGGCATCTCCCGCGTGTGCTACACTTTCACAATCTTCCCGGTCTTTTAGGAAAAAGAAGTACAGATATTCCAAACTAGGCCCATGTCTGTGAGTGGAGTGGAGTGGAGGAGTGAGTGAGTGAGTGAGTGAGTGAGTGAGTGAGTGAGTGAGTGAGTGAGTGAGTGAGTGAGTGAGTGGCCTATAGGGAGCTAGGTAGGGATGTGAACAAAACTTGAGTAACAAAACTTCCAGATGTGAACATTATTCACCATCCATCTAAAAATGAAAACTTTTCCAGGTTTTTCTGGCAGGAGGAATTTGACCAGACCTCAGGAGGATATAATTAAACCCAGAGACAGGGGGGCTGGTGCGTGTGTGTGTGTGAGAGAGAAAGAAAGAAAGAGCGCACAGAGCCAGACAGAACATGAGCTAAACTCTGTCTAGTAGGAGCACTCCTGGTGCTGAGCTAGCAACAGTTGAAGAACAGAAACCCTGCACTGACAAAGTGTGTGTGTGTAAGTGTGTGCGTGGGTGTGGGGGGGACCTCTTACACCTGTACTAAAGGAGAGAAGGGAGGGGGGGTGAGGAGTTTGCAATCCAAACACACTGCCTTTAGTCACTCTAGAGTGGAGACAAAGCAGCAGCCACTCAAACCTGTGGGTCCTTCAGGGCCACGTGTGGAAACACCATCTAGTCTCTCCTCAGTTGAAATGCAGCTACAGCTTTCATTTCACTTTTACTACTGCTCTTTCCATGACATACAGTAGACTGACCAGGTGAAAGCTATGATCCATTATTGATGTCACTTGTTAAATCCACTTCAATCAATGTAGATGAAGGGGAGGAGACAGTTTAATTAAGGACTTTTAAGCCTTGATACAATTACGACACGGCGTGTGGTGCATGAAATGTATTCTTGGATGTTATTCTTGTTACACAGTCTGTGCTCAACCCTTAGCTTCCCAGCTGACCATTTAGAAAACTTGTAACAAGCAAATACTGATATACAGTAAATACGCTTATTAATATCAATAATGTTTTTCTAAAGTTTTCTTGTGGCCTGTAGCATATGTTTTTTAAACAACTGAAAATGTATGGCACAAAGAAAATGTCAATCAAAAAGTAACATTGGAATTTGCACAACAGGATGCTTGGTTTAAGTCCTGTATGAGGGCACAGACCCTTCATTCTTTTCAGATAAATTCTTCAGGGATGTTTTCAAGAACGAAAAGCATTTATCTCATGGGTCTTCAGAGCACTGTAGCAGTCAGCTACTGCTAGACTAGACTAGCCAAATATAGAATGGACACTGTCAGCATGACTGAATTGGCATTGTGTGTGTGTGTGTGTGTGTGTGTGTGTGTGTGCACACGTGTACTGTAGCAGTGAATTTAAATAAACAGAGACACATGCTCAACACAAACGAACAGCTATGAAACTACACAGGCCCTACCAGTTTGGGATTGGATCAAATTCAATAATAAAGGATTTATCCTGAGTTATTCCAGAATATTTACTTTCAGCAATAGTGGTGAAGTTGCCATATAGCAGTCCTCGGCGTAATAGTCTTACCGTTTAGGAAGAGCTCCTCTTGTAGGGCTTGTCTGGCAGCAGGAGAGAAGCACCGTTTCCTCAGCCATTCTGGGTCAAACTCGCTGGTGTGCTGGTCCGGCCACACTATGGACACCTGAGGACAACCACAGAGGTTGTTTAAGGGTTTGCGTGAGAAAGGCAGCTCACACTAGTGTAGCACATGCGCCAGCGAATAGCTAGCTTTTCACGTGGCGGCGACTGATAAGACCCTTCAGGAAGGTGGTCATGTGTGCTAGCAGGGCAGAGGTCCCGAGTTCGCGCCAGGTATGGGCCGAATCGGGAGAAAGTGGTACTCGCTAAGCAACCAGCGTGATGGCCTTTACACTAGCAACAATATTGCCATCTACACTGAACAAAAATATAAATGCAACATGTAAAGTGTTGGTCCCACGTTTCATGAGCTGAAATAAAAAGAGCCCAACATTTTTCCATACGCACAAAAATCTTATTTCTCTCAAATGTTGTGGACAAATTTGTTTACATCCCTGTTAGTGAGCATTTATCCTTTGCCAAGATAATCCATCCACCTGACAGGTGTGGCATATTAAGAAGCTGATTAAACAGCATGATCATTACACAGGTGCAGCTTGTGCTGGGGACAAAAAAAGGCCACTAAAATGTGCAGTTTTGTCACACAACACAATGCCACAGATTTCTCATGTTTTGAGGGAATGTGCAATTGGCATGCTGACTGCAGGAATGTCCACCAGAACTGTTGCCAGAGAATATAATGTTAATTTCTCTATCATAAGCCACCTCCAACATCGTTTTACAGAATTTGGCAGTACGTCCAACCAGCCAAACAACCGCAGACCACATGTATGGGCTGTGTGGGCGAGCGTTTTGCTGATGTCAACATTGTGAACCTAGTGCCCCATGGTGGCAGTGGGGTTATGGTATGGGCAGGCATAAGCTACGGACAACGAACACGATTGCACTTTATCTATTTGAATGCACAGAGATACGGTGACGAGATCCTGAGGCCCATTGTCGTGCCATTCATCCGCTGCCATTACCTCATGTTTCAGCATAATAATACACAGCCCCATGTCACAAGGATCTGTACACAATTCCTGGAAGCTGAAAATGTCCCAGTTCTTCCATGGCCTGCATACTCACCAGACATGTCACCCATTGAACATGTTTGGGATGCTCTGGATGGCGGGTCACCAACAGATGCATATCTACGGTACCAGTTCATAGTTTGGACACACCTACTCATTCAAGGGTTTTTCTTTATTTTTACTATTTTCTACATTGTAGAATAATAGTGAAGACATCAAAACTATGAAATAACACACATGGGATCATGTAGTACCCAAAAAAGTGTTAAACAAATATATTTTATATTTGAGATTCTTCAAAGTAACCACCCTTTGCCTTGATGACAGCTTTGCACACTCTTGTCATTCTCTCAACCAGGTTCATGAGGTAGTCACCTGGAATGCATTTCAATTAACAGGTGTGCCTTGTTAAAAGTTAATTTGTGGAATTTATTTCCTTCTTAATGCGTTTGAGCCAATCAGTTGTGTTGTGACAAGGTAGGGGTGGTATACAGAAGATAGCCCTATTTGGTAAAAGATCAAGTCCATATTATGGCAAGAACAGCTCAAATAAGCAAAGAGAAACGACAGTCCATCATTACTTTAAGACATGAAGCTCAGTCAATCCGGAAAATATCAAGAACTTGAAGTTTCTTCAAGTGCAGTCGCAAAACTCATCAAGCGCTATGATGAAACTGGCTCTCATGAGGACCACCACAGGAAAGGAAGACCCAGAATTACCTCTGCTGCAGAGGATAAGTTCATTAGAGTTACCAGCCTCAGAAATTGCAGCCCAAATAAATGCTTCACAGAGTTCAAGTAACAGACACATCTCAACATCAACTGTTCAGAGGAGACTGCATGAATCAGGCCTTCATGGTTGAATTGCTGCAAAGAAACCACTACTAAAGGACACCAATAATAAGAAGAGACTTGCTTGGGCCAAGAAACACGAGCAATGGACATTAGACCGGAGGTAATGTGTCCTTTGGTCTGGAGTCCAAAATTTAGAGTTTTTGGTTACAACCGCTGTGTCTTTGTGAGACGCAGAGTAGGTGGACGGATGATCTCTGCATGTGTCGTTTCCCACCGTGAAGCATGGAGGAGGAGGTGTGATGGTGTGGGGGTGCTTTGCTGGTGACACTGTTGGTGATTTATTTAGAATTCAAGGCACACTTAACCAGCATGGCTACCACAGAATTCTGCAGTGATATGCCATCCCATCTGGTTTGCGCTTAGTGGGACTATCATTTGTTTTTCAACAGGACAATGACCCAATACACCTCCAGGCTGTGTAAGGGCTATTTGACCAAGAAGGATTGGCACTGATATATGGCCAGTTCTAAATTTTATTCCTTATGGTTACATTTAGAATTGGGGAAAGATAAGTTCATCCAATATATTTTACCTTGTTGTTGTCAGTGACCTGGACCCGGTCGACCCCAGTGTGGATGTCCAGCTGAGAGAGCAGCAGGCTGCGGGCCTGGGCCGACTGCAGGGTACACAGCGGGCATTGACAGTTGTCCCTAAGCCATGTGTACGGGTACAGGCTCTGACCCGCTGTCCTCCCACTCCACCTCCAGCAGCCTTTCCTGCTCCAGGGCCCGGACCTGCCTCACCCCAGGGCTGTCCCCCAGGGCGGTGGAGGGGAGAGGGGCAGGTGCCTGGGTCCCGTGCCCACGGAGCTGCCTCCAGGTCAGGTGAAGAGAAGGAGATAGAGAGATGGCGGCTGCCCATCCAGGCCTACCCCCAGCCGTCAAGGCATGGCAGGCCAAGACGGAGCTTCGCTTGAGCATGGTCGGCAAGGGTGCATCGTGCTATAGTGGTCGTCCACATCCTCGAACCGGGACCTCCGGATGAGCTGCGTCTCCAGAGCAGAAGGGTTGTCGGAAAGCTGGAAGGGGAATACAAATAAATGTGGTTACATAAGGGTTTAAAATGTCAATAGGTGATTATTGGTTTATTATACCTTGCGTCACCTCTTCTTATAAATGGCCTAATAAAACAAGAGGAAAAAACACAGCCATGCAAGTGCCAGTGGGCCTTAACACAGTCACAGTCAAGGAAACTAAGACACATCATTAGGTTTTTCTGATGTTCCGAAGACTAAAGACTTTGTGGATATTTTTATGCCACAACACACACCAGGACAGTACATTCTGGGTTTCCAAGCCAACATAAATATTCCAAAGGTTAATAAGGGTACAGGTCAGGACACATGTAGGCCTGTATTACTTGTTTTTTCTTACTTTTATTTTGAATTTATTTAGAATTATTGTTTTAATGTATTGTATTTCCTAGGCATATTTCACCATAAATGGAATTAATTTAAATCGTTTGATTTAAATAGGCTAGTTTGAGGCAAAAGGTGTAATAATACTAAATGCACCTTGCTACCACACTGACGAGGAGAATAGGACCTTGCAACTTTTTGTATCCAAAATTACTTTCATTTGTTATTACAAGCGTGACAACGTTGGGTCGTCACTAGTTACCACAGCCACAAAGTCATAAACCCCTCCTATTTCTCCCACTGATCTTCTTAAATGTGATTTTAAACATTACCCTAACCTTAAAACACACTGCTAACCCTAATCTTACATTAAGCAAAAAGCAACAAAAAAAAAATGCATGTGGCTGTGCTATCTAGTGGAAACCACAACATTGCGCGATACAATAAAATAACGTTACTGTTCTATCTGTGATACAATTACATTGCATGTTTCCGCTTTGGAATCTAGGTGAAAGTTCAAGACATGGGCAAGCGTCCCGGAAGCAGCTCGCGCCAGATTTACAAAAAAGGCTAATATATATAATAGATTGCTTTATTTTGTCATTCCCTACTTTGAGAAACCTTACAAACGATATACTTTTAACATTTGTACTTATGCAAGTCTGAACTGCTAGGCTAGGTATACTGTAGCTATCTGCCCAGGCTAGCTCTCTTTCTACTACTAGCTACCTTAGTTAGCTACTATTACCATTTAATTTAGCCTCCAATGACAAAATAGTTGACATTAGATGCTCGCTTGCTGACATTAATTGAATGATTTACGAAAAGCCAGTGTTTGTAGCGAGCTAGCTAGTACCGCTGTCTCCACATACATGGAGACAGCGAGCTAACATAACTCCTTTACCTAAATAATAATATATAACTTTCACTACGCAACCAGACATTCCAGTGACAACACATGCTATATTTACCGGCAACATTACAATATGTAGTATCTAAAAAAGTATTATGAAAAATGGATGTACCTGTATTATTTTGGTAGGCTTCTGAACGTTTGAATGTGCTTTGTCAAGGAAGTGTCTATCCAAAATGCAGTGCGGACTTTCAAACTAGGGGAAAGGTTAGGTTAGCACGTGGGTATATGACATAACCACTGTCGTTGTGGGGGCATCAGAGATGGTGAGTCAGTGAACTTTGCTGACATGACACCAACAGACCAGGGTTATAGTCCCCCAATATCAAGGTTGGGAATTTAGGAAGTCGATCACAATTAGAATAGCTTTTAATTAATCTTTCAAGAAACACTCCACATCATTCTCCCACTCCTGGATTGCATATTACAGAATATGGCAGAGCAATCCTTACCTCTCAGCTCTTCAGTTGTGTCAGTGAGACAGTTTGGACTTGTCCAGTGTAGTTGGTCAGTAACAGGTTGAATTAAACTAGCCTGTGGGTTGGAACTTGGTGCTTAAAATTATATTCACACCACTCAGAACCCTGTTAGTGGAGAGTTACAGTATTCAAATTATATCCTAATAAGGTACAAACAATTTAATGGAGCCTGCATAAACAGTAGCCTACATGAACTCCACAATATGTTTTTAATGTTGTGCAGTTCCATTGGTTGAAAGTAAGTAATCCCAGGATGTTGAACAATTCACTTTATCAGAGACTTTAAATCATATGACAAACAAGTTGTCTTTGCTCTGTTATAACATGTAGAAAAAAGGCATTGCCTAAAGAAAAAAATAAGCAAACACATTTGGTTTTCACCAAAAGGCATGTGGGAGACTCCCCAAACATATGGAAGAAGGTACTCTGGTCAGATGAGACTAAAATTGAGCTTTTTGGCCATCAAGGAAAACGCTATGTCTGGCGCAAACCCAGCACCTCTCATCACCCCGAGAACACCATCCTCACAGTGAAGCATGGTGGTGGCAGCATCATGCTGTGGGGATGTTTTTCCATCGGCAAGGACTGGGAGACTGGTCAGAATTGAAGGAATGATGGATGGCGCTAAATACAGGGACATTCTTGAGGGGGAAACCTGTTTCAGTCTTCCAGAGATTTGAGACTGGGACAGAGGTTCATCTTCCAGCAGGACAATGACCCTAAGCATACTGCTAAAGCAACGCTTGAGTGGTTTATGGGGAAACATTTAAATGTCTTGGAATGGCCTAGTCAAAGCCCAGACCTCAATCCAATTGAGAATCTGTGGAATGACTTAAAGATTGCTGTTCACCAGCGGAACCCATCCAACTTGAAGGAACTGGAGCAGTTTTGCCTTGAAGAATGGGCAAAAATCCCAGTGGCTAGATCTGCCAAGCTTATAGAGACATACCCCAAGAGACTTGCAGCTGTAATTGCTGCAAAAGGTGGCTCTACAAAGTATTGACTTTGGGGGAGGGTGAATAGTTATGCACGCTTAAGTTTTCAGTTTTTTTGTCTTATTTCTTGTTTTTCACAAGAGAAAATATTACCGGCTAACGAAAAACCCTGGTCTATGACAGTGGTGGAAAAAGTACTCAATCGTCATACTTGAGTAAAAGTAAAAAGTAAATGTTATACATCAAATTCCTTATATTAAGCAGTGGTGGAAAAAGTACCCAAAAGCCATACTTGAGTAAAAGTAAAGATACCTTACTGGAAAATGACTGAAAAGTCCTCCTGTAGCTCAGCTGGTAGAGCATGGTGCTTGCAATGCCAAGGTTGTGGGTTCGATTCCCATGGGGGTCCAGTATGAAAAATGTATGCACTCACTAACTGTAAGTCGCTCTGGATAAGAGCATCTGCTAAATGACTAGAATGTAAATGTATCCTTCCTATTACAGGATACTGGCCTGCATCTGAAGTCCATGCATTGGAATCTTCCAAGGTGGAAAAACAGCATTAGGCAAGAGATTTTTAGTCTGTTTCCATGATCATGAATACCAAGGGATTATAAATACCAGGATAATAAACAATAAAGTACATCATGTTTCTAATAAATCAACTAGAGCAATGCCAAGAGTAAACCTATGAACATTGTGTTCTCACTGGCCCAATTGCTCATATCGCTTTTGCATGCACAGAGCCTGAGACTTCTGTCAGGCTACCACCAGGGTTGGGATCAATTCCATTTCAACTCAGTAATTTCAGGAAATTAAAAATGCAATGTATTGATTTGGAAATCAACCGCATTATTACACATCAAGCCATGAATCAGGGTATTTCAAATCTTGTCAATCAAGACATGTGACATTTAGATGTCTATATGTAGCCTACTGTATGTACACATTGAGCATTACAGATCTACTTTTTGTGTCACCATAGGTCTAGAGCAGTGGTTCCCAAACTGTGGGGTGAGGGGTCGGCAGTTACGTTAGCCTTCTTCTAAAATGGATAAAATAAATACAAATCCTCAATCTACACACAATACCCCATAATGACGAAGTGAAAACAGTTTAGACATTTTAGCAAATGTATTAAAAATAAAAATCAGAAATACCTTATTTACATAAGTATTCAAACCCTTTGCGATGAGAATAGAAATTGAGCTCAGGTGCATCCTGTTTCCATTGATCATCCTTGAGATGTTTCTACAACTTAATTGGAGTCCACCTGTGGTAAATTCAATTGATTGGACATGATTTGGAAAGGCGCACACACCTGTCTATATAAGGTCCCACAGTGGACAGTGCATGTCAGAGCAAAAACCAAGCCATGAGGTCGAAGGAATTATCCGTAGAGCTCAGAGACAGGATTGTATTGAGGCACAGATTTGGGGAAGGGTACCAAAAAATGTCTGCAACATTGAAGGTCCCCAAGATCACAGTGGCCTCCATCATTCTTAAATCGAAGGAGTTTGGAACCACCAAGACTCTTCCTAGAGCTGGCCACCCAGCCAAACTGAGCAATCAGGGGACAAGGGCCTTGGTCAGGGAGGTGACCAAGAACCCAATGGTCACTCTGACAGAGCTCTAGAGTAGAGTGGCCAGACGGAAGCCACTCCTCAGTAAAAGGCACATGACAGCCCACTTGGAGTTTGCCGAAAGGCACCTAAAGACTCTCAGACCATGAGAAACAAGATTCTCTGGTCTGATGAAACCAAGATTGAACTCTTTGGCGTCACGTCTGGAGGAAACCTGGCACCATCCCTATGGTGAAACAAGGTGGTGGCAGCATCATGCTGTGGGGATGTTTTTCAGCGGCAGGGACTGGGAGACTAGTCAGGATGGAGGTAAAGATGAACAGAGCAAAGTACAGAGAGATCCTTGATGAAAACCTGCTCCAGAGTGCTCAGGACCTCAGACTCGGGCGAAGGTTCACCTTCCAACAGGATAATGACCCTAAACACACAGCCAAGACAACACAGGAGGGGCTTCGGGACAATTCTC